AAGAGCTTGATAAATGCTAACCAATATTTTTATTATCCTCATTAGCTTCACCCTCTTAATCACACTTAACTCTATAAGCCAGACTGGGAGAATTGTTTGTTTGTTTTTTTTTCCCTCTAAGCGTGCTGGTTTGTTGATTCTCACCATTATAAAGCGATGAAATACCCAATACATAAATAGTAGGAGAATTGGAAAGAGAGGGCTATATATTAAACACAGAAAGTTCTCAGTAACAAAGTATTTTTCCTCAGGGGCAGTCGAACCAGTCCTTTACACCATCCCATTCACGTAACTTCCCCTCTTCTCGTTCTAAACACTGAAAAATAGGTCAGAGTCAGAATCGGCCTGTTTACTTAGTGAATAACAAGAGTATATAAGATGAAGGTGTCAACTTGATTTGAAAATTTTTAGCTAACATGTTGGAGGGCATATTTAGAAGCAGGTTATTAGGAAATGAGTGACATTTGAAAAAGAAAAAGGGTGTTTGCAAAGGGAATCCTTTGGGGACATAAGAAAGCATCCAAATAGGGAACGAGTTGAGAAGTCTTTAATCCTTGTAGCCAGAACTGCAAGAGTTGCTGTTTGCTCAATGCCGTGTTTTCCCATGGGGTCACCTATTTTTACCGGTCCCCAGTTTCTAGTGAAAACATCTTTTAACTCCAACTCTGAGGGTTCGGTTCAGCGTGATGTGTGCATGAGTACGGTTCTCTTATGGGAAGGCTTCCGCCGAGTCCCGCCCTTCTGGCCTGTGGAAGCCAAACTAGAGTGAGAAGTATACGGTAAACCACAAAAGAGATAGTTATTTTTGGGATGTATAGCCAGCTTAATAGCTGGAACTTAGAAGTATTTGAGCACTTCAGATGTGTGCCAGGTACACCTTAAGTTGAGCTCAGAAGGTACGGGATAACTGTAGGGAAGGCCGACAGCTTCTTCTAGAAATGCTTGCATCACCTGGAAGTCAGGTTGTCTTTTTGTTAGAGCTTGAGGTTCAGAGTCATGAGCCCTGACTTAGCTCCTCAGAGAAATTTCAAAATATGATGCATTTGGTATGAGATGATGACTTTAAACTTACTGCGATGGTTATTTCACGATGTGTGTAAGTCAAGTCATGTGCTAAACACCTTAAACTTATAGTGTTGTATTTCTATTATATCTCCATCACACTGGGGAAAATTTTTTTAATGTGATACATTTGGGAGTTTTATACATAATCAGATTTTTTGGACATGAAGAGTGATGGAAGGCAGTTTTAGACAAGGAGTCAGAATGTGGATTCAGATCCAAGATGAGAACAACGTGGGCGAGCATGGCGTTCCGCCCTTCACAATGTGTATACCCGGTGGTTGCTGCGACACTTTATCAGTGTTCTCCCTCAGATGTTAGCCATTTTTGTTCTCTGCTGTTCACCGCTGAAAACAAGACTCCCTCCAGAGTCCCGTCTACTGAACAGGATGCCGATAATGACGATGTACTTGGTAAACACTCTGAGCTTAATAACGCCCAGAATTAGATGAAGTGAATATACCGAGCACTGATAACGTTATTAAAAGCTCAATTTGGGGGCCTGGAGTGAGGTTGGGGAGCTCGGGAGAATAGGCAGCTTTTGGCAAAAGGAAATCGTGAAGTAGGGAAGAAATAACCGCGTCAAGGCCCTAGTGGCACGCGCGTGACAGTCTTCCAAAGCTGCTGTGCTGAGCGGGACTGACATCTGGATTTCCCAGAATCCGTGATCTAGGGACGCACTGTGCATGTTTATTCATACGCCTTCCTCCCTCCACCAGCCCCCTCCACGCAGCGCACACACCACAGATGAGGAAGAAAATCTGTTCTCTTTTCACATAAGCACCAAGTTTTCTTTCCAAGCCCATGAGGTGTTGAGAGGGCCGTAATTTTGAGTATGACAAGAAGGATCGGTGTACACCGTTTCACATTAGCATCCCCTGTCGAAGCCCTGGCCGCGGGAAAGCCTGCGCTGAGCCCGCTTCCCTGGCCCCTCCCTGACCCCTCCTTGGCCCCTTCCAATCCTTGGCCCCTCCCTCTCCTGCTCCCCAACTCTCAGAGCACATTGCGTTGAGCTCTTTTTATAGCAGTCTCCCCGGTCTGCTCCTGAATCAGATTTAATGGGTCTCTTTCTCCCTTACTGAGAGCCCTTGCACACAGAGCCTGTCATAGCTGGCAGTAGATTTGAGGCTGGCCCATTCGAGGTCCAGTCTGGGTTTATTAAATGTTATGTTTCGTTCCAAGGGATCGTATAGCCTCTTCTTCAGAGGTGTCAGGATATCGTAACCCCTATATCCCATAATTATGCTTATCTATTTGAGTCAGCCGCCCCTCATAAACAGTAGCCTGTTGTTCTTTATTACCTTTCATACTTGCACTTTCTCAGTAAATGACTCTTGAATTAATGGTTAATAGTGATGTGTATTTCTTAAATGGTATTTAAATTAGCATAGGTTATTTGTAGTGGGAGAATAAGAAAAATGCTACCAGGAAGAAGAGGCTGAGAAAAAAGGAAAGATTTGAAGATCTTTTCACCTTCAAATATTTATTAAACAGTATGAAAGAGTAGGGAATTTATTTTTATCAGGAGCACTGTTTCCTTCATGGCTACTAATGAGATTATGGTTAAATTTTTTAATATGCATTCATATTTATGATTTAGATTTATTTCACATAACTTTCTGGGTTGATTGTTAATTTTTGATTTGAAATTAGGACTTGAGATATACAACCACAATTATACATTTATTAGATTGGTGCTTTAGTTTTCATTGCGCAAGTGATAATTTATTATGCTTTTAAAAAATGTTTTTCAAAGTAATAATGAATTGTATGACTGGCATTCTTTTTAGAAACTTGAATTAAAACTTGTATTTTTAACTTTCAGTGGCTTGTGCAATTGGGATGTTATTTAGATACTTATGATGCAAGATGCAGATGGTTATTAGTTTTTAATATTTGGAACTCTAGCTGTTCTCACATGGGCACTAGGAGTTTATTTGTTCACTAAGCAAATATGCGAGAACCTTCTTCATGCCAGATATACATGCCTCTGTGATATAACCTTTGTGTGTGGGAGGGGACAAGTAAGGGAGAGGGGGTCGATTCCCACTGGCCTGTAGGTATCTTCAAGACAGGTGTATAGCTTAGGTTTTTGTGTTTCCAAATCTAGCATAGTACCTCGCTGATAGTTAAGAAAGGGTTATCATGCAAATTAATAAATGGCTTTGGATGCTGAGACATACGAGGCAGCATGCTGCCAAGAAAGTCTAATGATGCATTTGGACTGAAAGCCAGGGGCATTCAATTACAATGTTTCTCATCAGCGTAACATATCCAAAATAAGGAGCTTGCCCAAATGACTAGGGGTTCCTGAGCCTAGAGTGGAACTAGGAAAAGACTTTGTAGAGCATGTGCTCGCCAAGACGAGCTGTATAAGTGGGAGTTTCTCAAATACACATGGGGAGGGAGTGACATTCTTGGCTCAGATGTGAAAGAGCTTTGTATTGGGACTGTGGATTCTTTTTAAATCCACAGTGTAAAATGTGGGGAGCTTAGTGGCAAGGGACAAGGATGAAAAAGACAGGTTAGATCACAAAGGGCCTGGCATGCCAGGCGAAGGATGTGTCCCCTGTGTCACTTTAGGGGTAGAATGGAAGAGACTGATGCTAAGTTTATAAAACTTACCGTCTTCGCCCCTTAACATTTTCTCGTCCTGTGTGCTCTCACTCCTAGTTGCCTGAGCCAGAGATCTGGGTATTTCCCTTCTCCGGTTTTTTGCTGTCACGTCCCACATCTGAGAAGTCCCCAGCTACCATCCTATATATTTTTTAAATTTCCGTCTCATCTTGTCATGTCTCTTTGTACCCGGTGTCCTGAGGCTAGCTTACACTCCGTTGTTGCAGCAGTCTCCTATATGGTCCTCCATGCTTTCCTCACCAGTCCACCGTCACACTCTAGTCAGAGAAAATTCTCAATACAAACCCGATCATGCCAGTCCCTGCTCAGGGTGGTCTGTGGCCTCCTGTCGCCCTCAGGTGAAGTCCACCTCCTCGACTCGACCTTCCGGACCTCCAGCTCGGTCCCTGGCTCCGCCAGGCTCCCTCCCAGCTCCCACCAGAGCAGGCTTCTGCTCGCCCCGCTACTCCCCAAGCCCTGTCCTACAGGTTAATACTCCCCGAAAGTATTTCCTGCCTTTTCAGATTTGGATTTAGAGCCCTCATTTGTGGGCCTGCAACACTCAGTATTTGCCAAATTATGACGTGGATTTTAATCACTTGCTTAATTGTCTTTTTCCTATAAGAAACTGTGAACTCTGTGATGGCAGAGACCAAGTGTCGCTTGTTTACCATTTATCCCTAGCACCTGGCACAGTGCCTGATGAACAGTAGGTATGTCCTGAACAGTAGATCCACGAATAGCTGAAGTACCTATTCCCATGCTCAGCACATGGAAGAGCATCAATAAATGATGGGAGATTTTATTGTTAATATCGTGTACAACAGCTGCAACTGTCACTCTATATGCAGACAGTAATAATTTCACATGTACAGATAGGTCATAAAAGGGGCTGAAACTTGGCCGTTAGAAGTGACAAGTTAGAAAGTGATGGCTAGTCTTCACGAATAAACTCGTCACTGTACAGGGATTTGAAGAGTAACACCACGGGGAGGAGATGGAGGCGCAACCAAGGATGAATTTATAAAAACGGTTGCCTGAGAAGGAGAATAGTTTTAGATAGTGAAAGGATATTGGACCTGTTCCCGGTCTGAGGACAAGACTCCAGCGTGAAGGCGACATGGAAAGGGCGTCAGAGCGGGCCTGCGACTGGAAGCACTGAGGGAAGAAGGCATCTCAGATGATGACAGAGAGTGGGTGGTGGGCGGGGTCGCGGGAACGCGTGCAGGCGTCTGGCGAGCAGCCGAGCCAGTGCTCACGGTGGCACCAGCCTGTTCAGTCCCGTTGCCCAAATCTGTGACCGTCTTTCTTTTTTCACTCAGCTGTTCGGGGGCCTCGTCTGGATTTTGGTTGCGTCCTCCAACGTTCCTCTACCTCTGCTCCAAGGATGGGTCATGTTCGTGTCCGTGACGGCGTTCGTCTTCTCCCTCCTCTTCCTGGGCGTGTTCCTCTCTGGCATGGTGACCCAGATCAATGCCAACTGGAACTTCCTGGTAAGGAATTTTTAAGTCTTTTTCAAGAGAATGTGGAAAGCGTATAAATACCTCCTTCTGTCCTGTTCTGTCTGATCCCTGTTCTATCTGTCACCTCTGGTTGGAGAGAAAATGTCAGATGCAGGGTCTGCTGTGCTGTTGAGTGGCCATCTTGCTGGATGGCCAGGTCCCGGTTTGTGACATTCCAGCATTAGTATCGCTGAGTAAGCTTTCTGTTGCTCCTTTATGAGTTAGATGACCTTTACTCCAAGACTGTTTATTTCCTCCAACAAATGAATTGAATTATAGTTATTGAACTATTGAACAGTGCCTTTGCTAGATGAATGCTGTGACATATATCTTGAAATTTTCCATTGATTTCTGTTTTAGATATTAAGTCACATATACTCTTTTCAAAAAACAAGTAGCTATATATTCTACTTTCCAAATACTCAGAAAAGAAAAGGGGATATTATATATTTTCAGGCATACCTCGGAAGTATTATAGGTTTGGTTCCAGACCACTGCAAAAGCAAATATCACAATAAAGTGAGTCTCACGAATTTTTTGGTTTCCTAGTGCATATAAAAGGTATGTTTACACTATACTATAGTCTGTTGAGTGTGCAACAGCATTGTGTTTAAAAAAAAAAATGTACATACCTTAATTTAAAAATACTAGTCTACAGCCACGCCACCCTGTACACGCCCTCTCTCATCTGATCTCGGAAGCTAAGTAGGGTTGGGCCTGGTTAGTACTTGGATAGGAGACCATTTTGGAAGACCAGGTGCTGCAGGCAAAAAAAAAAAAAAAATTAAAAATACTTTATTGCTAAAAAATATAGGGTTATTAATTGGCTTAATTTTAATATTGTCGTCTCAGGGAAAGGGGAGGAGAGGGAGAGAGGAAACAGCCAGGTCATAGGGCAGAACACACAATATTCATCGGTTAAGTTTGCCATCTTATATGGGTACAGTTTGTGGCACCTTAAAACAATTAAAATAATAACATAAAAAATCACTGATCATAGGTCACCATAACAAATAAAATAATAATGAAAAAGTTTGAAACATTTTTCAAATTACCAACATGTGACACAGAGGCATGAAGTGAGCAAATGCAGCTAGAAAAACAGCGTTAGTAGATACTCAACACAGGGTTACCACACACCTTCAATTCCTAAAAAACTGATCCAGTATCTGAGAAGCACAATAAGGCAAAGCACAATAAAATGAGATGTTGCCTGCGTGTTTAATTTCTGTCCTATTCCCAAGAATTGGTAAGATTTAAGAAACAAATTTACAATCAACACAATTGTTAAAATTATGACACCATTAAACTGGATCGACTGATTTCCCTTTTCCCATGTAATGTAGGGGCCTCTTTCACGTTTGCGGTTATTCATTCTCTGGGCCTATCTCAGAATGGCCCAGTGGAGCATGAATTCTAATCCATGGTGCCAAGCGTTTTAACAAAGTTCGTGACGACCCTACTTTGGTTTCGATCCCGCTTTGGTGGTTAGAAACTTAAATCAGGCCATTAGTCAGGCTTTATAAATGTCCCTTTCAAGTATGGTAGCGTTTCATTCTGCAGTTTTAGGAGAGCTGTCAGCAGAAGATGTTTGTTCTTGTCTTATTTCCAGAGCATAAGGAGAACCGCCTTCCCAAACGTTATCAATAGTCAGGTCTAGTGAATGTGGCTGCCTGTGCTGAACCAGTTGGGGCCACTGGCATGGGTCAGTGGAAAGCTAAGGAGAAAGTGTGGCCAGCGGTTACAATCGTGCACGGGCTCTGAGGTTAGGTCCGGTTTGCTTGATAGCTGTAGCCTCGGGCAAAATATCGAACCTCTGTGAACTTCAGTTTCTTCCTCTGTAAAATGGTAATTATCATGCTTCCCTCACCAGATGCTGTTAAAGAATAATGGAATTAATATATTATAAAAGGCTCAGCTTTGTGTCTAATTCACAGTAAGTGATCGATAATCATAATTCCTTAGACAGGCTGAGGCTTGCAATATGAATTTTTGAGAGTCCTTCTGTTTCTTAGGTTGCTGATACAGTGTGTTCTTACCTTTTTGCCTTGATTTCTCATTAATGATGTGAAAATATTTTTAATAATTGGTCAAGTGATGAAGATCAAAGGCCCCTATTTGAGTTACAGATAGATGCTTAATCTCCTCTTTCTAAATGCCTGGCTTTCCCATTATATGTATGAGTGAATGAGTCAGTCCCTAATATTGGTAAGCACCCCTGGGCTCTGTTCGTATCAGGCTCAAAGATGGTATTTGACCAGTATACACCAGTATAGAGCTACTGCTACTTTGCTGCTAGTTAATACACAATTGTTGCCCCAAACTACTAGCTCTTCCTAGGTGCTGTGCCCCCATTACCCTGGCCCTTCTCTGGGACCTTCCTGGACCTCCTAATAACCCAGCAGCTAAAGGGTTAATACCTGGCAGAGCAGCGAGTCTCCAGGATCCTGCAGTGCCCAGCATTCTATATATTTGGCGGAAACACATGCCTTAACAATGTTTAAGTATTTTTTCTATGTCACTTCTGTTTTATTGGACATATGTCCATACCATCCTTTTTCTTTTTGCTTACGTTCAGTCGAATTGTTGGTTATTGAGTAGAGTCACTCATATCCTTATTAATTTATTAGGGTTCCTAAATTGTATCATTACATCTGATGTTCAGACAATAGCATGTAAGAATTTCTTTTCTTTAATTAAATCACTTTATGAAAGGTACACCTGCAAAGTTTATATGATTTTTTTTTTCCCAGTGGAAGTAATCCACTCTAAATTGGGGAAAACCTGTTAATAGCAACACACAGCACACAAAACAGTGGAGTCACTGCACAGACTTCTTGCATGGTGGACATATTTTCAAAGAGCCAACTCTTGCCTTCAAGGAGTTTACTTAAATGCTTGCCATCTTTAGGAAGGGCTCATTATTTTCTCTTCTTTTGAGATTTTCTACATACTCAGTCATTTTTGATCACATGGTTGCTTTTGATAGATTTTGTATTATATCTTGTACACTTTCAGCTAGAAAAAATTTTGAGCCATGCAGATCATAGTGTTGTCACCAGATGGTAATAATTTTTACTTGCTGTATTCTGGAATTGTCAGACATCAGTTGCTCAAAAAATAATTGTTTTCTCCAGTGATAATAGTTTAATATTGCCTGTGTACTGTGCATGAAGGAAGCAAGAATATAAAGCAAAGAATTAATTTTCTAGAAGTATTTGTTGTAGAATATTATAAAATATTTATAACTTCTAGCTTTTATTGATCGTGGTATTAAATTAGCATACATCAATCATGATATTAAATTAACATACATGGTAGATGTCTTCAGTATTTTTTCCCAAGCTTTCTAGTGTTGGTTTAAATGGTGAAATAAAAATAAAATGTAGTAAAAAAGAAAGTGGATTCTGGAACCAGGCAGACCTATGTGAGTTCTTAGCCTTCCCTTCAAAAGTTCATTTTTGTAAATTCTTTATTTGTAAAATGGAGATAATAAATGGTGGTTGTAAGGATGAATGATAATGAATGTAAAGTACCTGGTATCTGGGAACTATTAACAAAAATACAAAGCTATATGTTGATGATATATTAGTAAGGTGATGTGAATTTTAGTAGAGTTATGCTTCATATTGATGCCAGCAACATATGAAATAATCTAATATAATAACAGTTGAATTTTATATGAAAAGTTTCTATATTTGTTGTACAACTATGTGATTTTATTATTTATTTTTTTAGAATGTCAGGAGATACCAAATTCTATGATTTCGTAGGTCTTCCGTATCTTTCAATGTATAGGGTGACAATCTAATGGAAAAATAATAATTGCTCAAAAATGAAATACTTAATTATAAAATATATGGTATTATATAACTATGTAATATACTCCAGTAATATAGTTATTGTATAATAACTATAAGATGTAATTGAGATGCTATTTTACTTGAATTTTAAGGACAGCATATGTTATTCTTTTTTTGTTATGTTAATTCATAGATATTCATTATCTATGGCATCTTAATCTAAACTGAAATGATATACTTTATTATAAAATTCAATATTCTAGGAGGTTTGCCACTATGCCAATTACAATGAGCCAGTTGATTTTCATTTGGGTTCTAATAGCTTGGCATTGCTAAAGCAGCCAAAAGAAATGGCTGAAGTAGTTAAAGATGAAACAAATGTTCTTATCTTCCTGAATCTCAACTTCATCATGCGAAATAAGAAACCGAAAAAACATCTCATTATTTTTAACTGCAGACATCTCTCTCTATCCTCTTTTTCCAGGATTTTGCTTACCATTTTACAGTGTTCGTCTTCTACTTTGGAGCTTTTCTCTTGGAAGCAGCAGCCACATCCCTGCACGATCTTCACTGCAATGCAACCGTGGCCATGCAGCCGCTCTTGAATGATGACCAGTATAACATAAACGTAGCAGCTACGGTACGTGTCGATGACTGCAGTCCACCAGCACTCCCCTGCCACTGTTAAGGTCTCCAAGTAATTCCTCAGGCAACAATAGTTTTCTTTAATAGTAGCCATTAGCATTAAACATATAATAGCAATGCATCTGTAATATCCTTGTGAGCAAAGTACCATTATTAGCCCTAGTGTTGTGGACGATGAAGCTGAAGTACATTCAGGCAGTCGGTGGTAGTGCTTGGCCTTGCATAGCAAAGTCTACTTTCTAAAAGCAATTAATTGTGCCTTTTACTTCTTGTAACTTCAGACATGGTGAGGGAGGCTTATTCTTTAATGCTTAATACCTATTTGTAATTCATTTTAATTCAATGAATATTTACCAAGAGCCTACCATGAGACAGATAATTTGCTAGATGTTGGGGACAGAGATGAATAAGGCACAGTTCCTGCACTGAGGAAAGTCCAGGTGAGTGGGGGAGGGAAATATACCAGCTGTTGCAGTAGGTGCTGTAGAGATGAAATGCGTTCTATGGGGAAATTAAAAAAAAAAATTTGTCCTCCTATATGTTTATGCTTAAGTAAGTTTATTGCTTTGCATTGACAGATAATTTGAATAAATGGCATAGTATTTCTCTTTTTGTAGATAGTTCTAATGTATCAGAAATCTAAATTAGTCTCTGAAATCGCTTGATATTTAATATGACTACATAGCAAGTTGGTGATCCTGACGTTTTACTATTTTACACAGATAGCATATAAGCAGCCCAGGATTCCCCACCGAGCCATTAAGATCTGCCTGGAGCAGTTCTGTCCACTAGAACTTTCTAAAATGATAGAAATGTTCCATATATACACTATCTAATATGGTAGCTGCTCATTAATTCATTTATGTAAATTAAGTTTAAATTTAGCCACGTGTGGCTATTACATTGGACAGCACAGGTCTAGAGTCTGGAATTTGAAGGGTAGAGGACTGATGTTTCCAAGATTTACTATCATAAGTTTCCCAGGTCTCTGTTACAATTGTCAAAATTCACTGAGAGTCTACAGTGAATTAGACTAAAGATGTAATTACAACAGGAAGGAGGCGTGGTTCCAGCTTTGAAAAGCTTATAGTTTAGAGTGTGATTTTATACTTCCTTTTATAATAAATGAAACTGTCTCGCTTAATGAAATCTTACTTAAAACCCAATAAATGTAGAAAGTAAAAGCTTACCTGCCCTAGTTGGAGTGGAGGAAGAGGGTCTTGAATGATGCCCATCCTTCCTTCTCATAAAACCGCCTCTATCCACCTCATCATCTCTGAGGTACTTTCATAGAATCCTCGTGATCCAAAGATCACAGTTAGAAAACCACTGGTTTTAGCAATATTATGAAGCAAAGTTCAGGAACGTAAAATTGACTTTTTTCCCATCAAGTGTTCTTCCATTTAGTCTTTAATTCCTATTGGATTTTCCTTTGGCACCTCCATCCTCTCCTTTCCGATGGTGCAGGCTAGATTGTTGTTACATCTCTTTGACCCTTGAAGTAGCCTCATATTTATAGTGGCTCTGACATCCTCCTTTCATAAAAATAATAGGCGCGCAAGTCCCTGATGATCAGTGGTGGATGATAGTAATTTCTCACTAATATTCCTTATCCCTAAAAGCCCAATTTTCAACGTTCTCCGGAGTATGACTCCATTCTGGCTGTCCTCCTTCTGTGACTTTTCCCCTGTTTATCCTCCTTTTTCTCTGTCTGCCTAAGTGAAGCTGCCTTAGTAAACCTGACTCAGGTCCTACATTCAGTCCCATTTCATCCCTACCCTCCAGTAGAAGTAAATCTTTAGTTTCTCAGTTTTAATAACACTTAAAAGCATGAGCCATTCATTTGTGACATTATAGTGAGTCTTTCACTTTTCTTGTTATTTCAATATACCTTAGAGAGAGGAAAATCCCTGTTTACTAATAATAGACATCAAAGGTGGTCATTCTCGTTCAGCAGACAATGTCTAGACTAGAGTGTACCAGGGAGACAACCAGCAGAAGGATGGGGAGAAGAGCAGAATACTCATTACACACCGAAATGTTCTGTAGGTGAACCTGATGTTCCTTCTCAGATCTATAGTTTCCTGGTAAAAGATCCCTGCACTAAATTATAATGTTTTATCATATTTAATTACTTAGTCTTGTAATTTTCTGCAGACCATAAACCCCCCAAATGGTCAAGACAACATCTATATTTTTGTTTCTATGCACTAGATATACTGATGTACACAGAGATGGTGCTAAAGGAATTTTCGTTGAATAATGAGAACAGTAATGCAGAACTGAGTGCAGACCTGAGGACTATCCCCCATGCCAACTTGACGATTTATTTTTCTGGGTTTTCTTGGTTAGTGATAAAGTCACTTTCCTTCATCACAGAAATCGGCTACATCCTCAAGTTCTGATAGTTGCATTTTCCTTGACTGTAAAATCATTGTAAGAGTGGACACCTCATAATGAACCTTTGACTACCACCTTGGGGGTACCACAGATACTTAACGGCGGAGTCCAGTGTGTGATCAAATGGTCATGTTTCAGAAGATTATTAGGGCTAGAATCTTTCAAAGAAGGGTTCATGGTGTGAGAGAAGAAGACAGTAGTACAAATCACCAAAAGAGAAGATGAGTAGAAACCGTTTTCATAAGTGTCGCTGTATGTTCAGATAGGTTGGTTCAGCTCGTTGGGGGTTAGTATTTTCTTAAAGTCAATGTTATAAACCTGATGATAATTTTTGTTTCTTTTTTCTTAGATTTTTGCCTTTGTGACGACGGCTTGTTATGGTTGCAGTTTGGGTCTGGCTTTACGAAGATGGCGACCGTAACACTCCTATTTTGTCTGCTTTATATGTCTGATCAATTTGGATACCATTTTGTCCAGATATAACAACATTCCCAAAGTAATTGGTTTAGTATGTAGAGAGAATCTAAGTACGAGTTTGGTTTATTTCATGGATAGAATTTTAATTTTATTATGATGTTAAACAGAGAAATCGCCTTTACATTTATTTCTCTTTCTTTTTTTAAAGAAAATTTCCTTTTATATCCATAAAACATACAGATGTGGTTTATAAAAAAGGGATATCTCTTTTGTTTAGTTGCTAATTCACATGAACCTGCATTTTACTAGGTAACTAAAACTCCCTAAAAAAGCACATTTCAAATGGTCTTCCTACTGAACTCTTATCTTTTAGTGTAAAACAGAGATTAGCACTCTTTTCTCTATAAAGGCCCACATGGTAAATGTTTTGGGCTCTGTGGGTCATGCAATCTCTGTCAGTTACTCATTTTTGCTATTACCATATGAAAGCAGCCCTAGACAATATGTAAATGAATGAGTCTGGGTATGTCCCAATAAAACTTTATTTACAAAAACACACAGCAGGCTATAGTTTGCTGACCTCTGGTATAAAAGCTTATGTGTTCTGTGTTTTACTGAACTGATCCTGAAAGATAAAAAACTAATTAGACAAGCCACATAACAGTCTCTTTATGCAATAATCACATTGCTTTTATGTTAATGGTCAAATACTAACCCTTGAAGGGCCTAATAGTTTCTCAAGCTAACTCAAGCAGAATCTCTAGTGTAAGAAAAAGTAATTTATGAAGTGAACCGTAATTGCTTAATCAATCTTAGGCTCCCCAAACTCTCATCTGGCATCCTTATAATGAGATCTTCAGAGGTCATTAACCATTACTGAAATTGGTATCTAGCTACTTATGTCTTTCTTTGGATTTATTTATGCTTCAGAATACAGCTGTTTGCCCTGTGCATGAATATACAAATATGTGTGTATGGATATGTGAGGCTTTACCAAATAGAGCTCTCTGAAGAGTTAACTTTTTACTTCTAATTATTTTACATAATTTGACTAGAGTGTTAACTATAACTTAAAGTTGTCAATTCTTACACGTTTCAATAATAGCCCTGAGATTTATGTTGTTTCTGCATCGGTGACAGATACACAAAATCAGTTATAAACAGCAGCCGTCGTAAAAACTGTCTCTGACTGAATAGCATTTTAACACAAAGTATTTTAACACACCTGTAAAGACTCTGGTTGTGGAAAGGTGCCAAAATAGTTTCAGTGGGAGAATAAGTTAAAGTTCAGCCCCAGCTTCCACCACACTCTCCAAGCAAGATACTTCTCTCTTGTCCCAAGAGGGCTACCTCTGGAAAAAGAGGGCTTTTGATTGTCCTATATTTCAGCCCTTTGCTTTTGCGGCTGAATCATCTCCTAAGAGTGCCATGTGTAGGTTGGGCTATTAGATTTTATGGAACATAGAATAGTGCTGAATGAGTAGCATGATCAATGCTCAATGATCAAATGCTATTTATCTAATAATCCCCTAGAAAGAAGAATCTTACAAGAGTCTGTCTTGTGATGTAATTACAAAGATAAAAGACATGTTTCAGTATGTGGCAAGAGGAAATCAGTCTTATGACTTTATACTCATGTTGTATCTTTTCTATAATATTCGACTTCCTTGTTGTTTTTGTTTTTTGATTTTAGCTCCATACTACACACTTTAACCTGTATTATGAATTGTATATTACTGAGTCATAAATGTGCCATAAGGATATATAGTCCATTCTGGTTGGAATCATTTAGTTAGTCTGTTAGATTTAGTTGTGAGATTTTATTTTCATTCCCAAGGTATAACAGGTTCATGCTTGGTGGCATTAAATTAAATGATGTCATGAAACTGCTTTGGTGGCACTTTTGTAAATGGATTGCTTCTAGATCATTAAGAACCAAGCCTAAAACTCATCTAACTGTGAAGACTTAGATTTGTAGATTAATCGTGTTCTAGATTTGTGAGTTGAGTGACAAAGCACTTGAACAAAAATTATGGCATTTAAGATTTTGTTATATACCTTAGCTGTAAAAATGAGAAAGTGTTGGTTGGTTTTAAAATCTGGTAACTCCATGATGAAAAGAAATTTATTTTATAAGTGTTATATGACTCTAATAAAGTATTCATTTGATAATCTTTTTGGTCATCTATTTTTTATACAACTCACTTTGAAATTCAGTTAAAGGTTTGTTATAAACTTGACAGATTCGGAACGTCTAGTCTTATAATACATAAAAGAGTTCTTTAAACATTTCTTCATTAAAGATAGTCTCTCAGGAAATGTCAGTAAATTTTTTTTTCCTTGATGAAGGTTGAAAAGCTAAGTCATTGGAAGTAATATTATAAAGGAAGTTTCAATTATACTCTTTTATTTAAAAAGTATTTATATAATGCTTAATATATTCCTGGCAGCGTTCTAAGGATCGTGTACCTAACAAGTGGGAAAGCTAGTATTTCAACCCCAACAACCTGGCTCCAAATTCCAGGCTCCTAATACCTGTGTATCCCTCAGTTGTCCTAGATTTTACATATCCAAAAATGTGGCCCTTTTTTCCTATAAAGAAGTTTTTGAAAGAATGTTTAAGAACATAATTGTTTATGGTAGATGTCATCTTTTAGGACTCTTTTTGTCATACCCAAGGACTCACCTTCTGCTGTGATCCTTGGCAATTCACCATCCTCTGGAGTCAAGAAATGATCTCTTATCCAGTCTTACATTCTTTGCTTGATCACTCATCCTTAAAATCCAGTGCATTGGTACTCACCTGGCTCCTGCTAATACATGCTAGTTGCTTTTTGCAGCCTCCTTGGGCTATCCCGAGACTTAACCATAGTTATCAGCCTGGCATCCAGGAGAAAGGTGGGGCATATCCTGAAGGAAGCCTTCTGGTGCCTCACGGGAGGAAAGCACTAGCTCTGAGTACGGAAGAATGAGCCACCAATGTAGCTCCAAGGGTTCAGGGGATTCTGGGGAGCCACAGTCTTTTGGGTCTCTCTTTAAACATCCCCATCCCATGTTTCAGAGTCCAAGGCTTTCCTCACCACCTCACCAGAATGCTGAATTTAATATTTCAGATTTGCCTTGGTGGAACATTCTACTATCTTGTAAGTTCAGTAAACCTGTCAGATTTTGAGTGTTCTCTTTAGCTGTGTTGCTCTCCCACAGCAAAAAAATAATAGAATCCTTCTTATAAACTATGGGATAAGCCCTCTGGCTATGACATTTATTTTTATCCCTTTGTTAGCAACCCTGAGTTTTCTCATTGTGGATGTAGAACATCAGTTGCAAATAATCACCAGCTTTTTCTGTCGTTTGTAATTTAATGTGTTATTTCATCTGTGTTTTCATAGACCTGGATCATTTTAAAATAAAAGAAAAAAAGCATTCTAAGGCGGTCATTGACTTTGGGGCTTTTAAAGTCTTGACATTTCCTTATGAAATGCCCAAAGGGTAACCTCACCACTAAGGTAAAAAGCAACCACCAAGCGAACTGCTCAAGTAGAAGTTCTGCGTTATCTCTAGAGAAAGTAAGACAGGCCTTTCAATTATTCAAAATATATACCAAGAACATATTTCAGGCCCAGCATCGTCCAAGAGATGAGACTATGATGATGAAGAAGACCCAGTAACTGTCCGTAAGGAGAGACATCTACAAATACACATGAAAGTAAGATACAAAACGCTGATTTTAGAGAGAAGCATAGGATGCTGTGGAAGCACAAGAGGAGACTAATCGGTCGTGGAGGGGAGGAGTGTTAGAATGCTCCTCCGTGCGAGGGATATGTAAGAAATCTGGAGGATGAATTCGAGGCAATCAAGAAAATATGAAGACGATGAGGAGGTCATCCCAGGAACAGGGATCCACTTGTGAAATCGCTCAACAGAAAAAAAAAAGATGCCGTGTTCAGGAAGCAAAGTGGTTTGGGGTGGCCGTAGCTTGGGGGGTGAGAGAGTGAGGCAAGTGGGGATGGTGCGAGGGAGCAGGGCCCCAGGACGAAGGCCTTTCTGTGTTCTAAGGAGTTTAGGCTTTGACCTAAGAAGCTCGGGGCCACTCTAAACCAAATTGCACCTGCCCAGCTGTCTCCTCATAAGTTCTCTCTCTTCACCTATAGAATTTTCCCAGTTGTCCTAGAAGAGTTTGTCCAGATATCTTGGCTATTCCACTTGAGTCTGAGAATGTTAGTGCTTTATTTCAGGAACATACGGCAGTTCATCCTCAGGCAGTTACAGGTAGCAGGTCCTATTTTTTAAGTCCATTTTCCTTTCTCTTTCTATCACCTCTCATAATCCTGTGATCTGCTGCCAGGTGTCCCAGGAAATGGTAATTTCATTTCATGGCGATCCCACCTAGCCCACAACTATCCCTTTGTTTCTGAAATGAAGAAGGGCCAGATTCAGAACTGATTCAGAAGCAAAGGTGCACATCTGTTACAAAAACCATTTGCTAAGTTGTCTTTAGTCAAAACTGCTGGGATGACGTTAGATGAGAGGCAAGCAAATGCGGGAGCCGACCGACTGTCCCTCGGTCACAAGTGAGGCTCTTCAGGGGGACTTATCATTGCCTAGCCATTTAAATGTGTGTTTTTCCTTCAGTCTGAATAGTAAGCTTTCTCTTTCTGTATATCAGGCTAAAAGGTATAGCTATGTAACAGCTATCACAAAATTCTCCATTTATCTATAATTCAAATCACTGGCATTTTGAGCTATCTGTTGCATACTTGGCCTAAAGACATGTTTGATGAAGAACTTACTCTGCTTCAAAACGGCAGCAGCAAAAACATCTACTTGTGTGTTTGTGGGTCTCAGGAAAAAGGTATATAAGGCTTTGGTTCACAGGCTAGGAAGTTCCCTGAGTGGAATTTGAAACTGCCCCATGTACACAGAGGGCAAGGAGAGCTACCTAAGAAGGAGACGGAGCACTCCAGATTGGCAGGTGGCAGCTTTAATAAACAAGGGAACTTACACATGAGGCTTATCTCAGGCAGCCACGAGAGAGAGCTCGGCATCTGCCCACTAGAACCTTAACAGGGCCAGAGGGTCTCAACACCATACTCCCTCAAGACCACATCCTTGAAACAGCTCCCTGTTGGGAATTGTGGGCAGAACGTACATTCCACAGACAGTGAAGGGGGCGAGGAGCCTCCAGTAGCTCAGGTGCAGATTGTGGGTCAAGCCGCCATGCCCTCGATGACCTCTTCCAACAAAGGCAGGTCTGGGGAGAGCAGCAAAGATCTATAGAGTGTTTTGAAATCAATGTAGTTCTGCTCTCTGAAGATTAGACACATTGATGTCAAGGAATGATTTTGGGGCTTCTCCGTGAATGGAGCTTTTAACAAAAGCTCCCCTTCTTTTGACTGTGGAATAATGTTCTCTGCTAACATTTATTAAGCATTTACTATGTGCTAGTCACTCATCTAAGATTATTAGATGTATCACATTGAATCTTCCCAAAAAACCCAAGATATGCCCTTACAATTACTATGTTCCAAATGTGGAAACTGAGGACACTGAGGTTTGGGGACTTGTGTAAGGTTGGAGCTAGGAGCACAGCCACATTTCAAACCCAAGCAGTGCGGTCCGAGAGGCCGGGAAGTGCTGGTATTCAAAACATTTTTAAAGGTTACAGTTCTGAACCAAGTGCAAGTTGTTGAGTAGATTTACACGATTTTGGTTTTATCGTAGCCGTGAATTTGGTCAATAAACACTGGAGAAATGCTGGCGTGTTTTATAATGAAACACAGAACATTTTCCATTTTCCATCTCCAGCTACCTCTGCTGATGCCCTTCAGCCTTATATCAGCCTTTTATCTGCCACTGGGGCACTACGAAGGGCAGCAGGCTATGAAGCGTATAAATGAATGAAAACAAAATGCAGCCTGATACCCCCAGGCTCCACTGAGTCCTGTTTTACGGTTTACAGGTCCTGAGACAAACCTGTCCAGAACTCAGATGAGCTCTTGTTACTCACAGTAGATAGTTGTGGGACAATTCTGCTGATCAAAGGACTCTAAAGCAAGACTTCAGTCCAACGCTGGGATCCTTTTTTAATAGAACTGGTTTTGTCTACACTCACATTTGCACTGCAGAGTCACAAGTGAGAATTATCTATTGTTTTTTTTTTCCCTCTTTCGATCACTTGGTAATTTCTATTTTGATTAAGTTCAGCATGGTCCAAGCGCATGCAATGCTAAAACCGATGTTAACTTTCCTTTTAGCTGTTCTTCCATCCAACCAGGAGAGGGCAGTGCAAGTACACTTTAGATACTTAGAAGCAGCTGCTCGGGCGTGGGAGACTTCAGAGTTTCTATTTTAATATGATGTACTCGAGTCTCTTCCCTCAGGGTAACGTGTAAACCTAAAGTCGAAGGCCATATGTAGCATGCTTCTCTAAGTAAGAGCTGAGAGCTATGGCCCCTTTTAAGGTACTAGCTAAAACTCGATCATTAAAAGCATAGATAGCAATAATTACCATCAGAATGCCTGTTTCCACTGGGGAAGAGTTAAACTAAAAACATCAGTGCCTTTCATGTCCTTGAGATACTTGCTATATTACAATTAAAAGTCTTCTTTTCAACACCTTTCAATATCTTCCACCATTCATCAAAATACGATTTTGGAACATACTGGGCTCCATTTGCAAAACTTGGCCATCCTTCTTCTGAGGTTGGGCACTGCTCTTTCACTTAAAACCTTAGCGGTGATTGAATTATTAACAACAACACATACTAAAGGCCATCGTGTGTTTCATGCCATAATCAAACATTTTTTAAAAGTGCCGCATATCGTAGTGAACGTTCTATTTTTGTCTTCTTCTTGATTAAAGTCACAGGTACTCTCAGAACCAGCTTAGTCGGGTGGTACCATGAAAAGAGCAGAGAATTTGGAGCCAGGTGGGACTGGTTTCATATTTTAGCTCAGTGGTGAGATTTGGGGCAAGTCTTTTCATTTCCGGGTGAGAGTATTTCTCCAGTCTAGAAGACAAGTAATGCCCTGATTCTACTGAGCAGTGAGAATCGAAGCAAGAGCTGCTGCTGCTGCTGTTGCTGCTGGTTATTGTTTTTGTCACTATTATTTTGACCGAATCACCCAAGTATTAACCAGCGGCTTTTGTCCAAAGGGTAGAGGAGCCTCTG